GGGCTCGCCCAGAAAATGGCGTTTCTTTACATTAAACGCTGGTTTTATTAACATTTAATTCCATTTGCCAAGTGATGCTCCATATACTTATTGTGTGTGTGTGTGTGTAATTACCTAAGTGTAGTTACAGGATGAGAGCTACGCTCGTGGTGTCCCGTCTTCCCAGCACTCTTTGTCATATAATGCTTTGAAACTACTGACGGTCTTGGCCTCCACCACCTTCTCACCTAACTTGTTCCAACCGTCTACCACTCTGTTTGCGAAAGTGAATTTTCTTATATTTCTTCGGCATTTGTGTTTAGCTAGTTTATATCTATGACCTCTTGTTCTTAAAGTTCCAGGTCTCAGGAAATCTTCCCTATCGATTTTATCAATTCTTGTTACTATTTTGTATGTAGTGATCATATCACCTCTTTTTCTTCTATCTTCTAGTTTTGGCATATTTAATGCCTCTAACCTCTCCTCGTAATTCTTGCCCTTCAGTTCTGGGAGCCACTTAGTAGCATGTCTTTGCACCTTTTCCAGTTTGTTGATGTGCTTCTTAAGATATGGGCACCACACAACCGCTGCATATTCTAGCTTTGGCCTAACAAAAGTTGTGAACAATTTCTTTAGTATATCACCATCCATGTATTTAAAAGCAATTCTGAAGTTAGAAAGCGTGGCATAGGCTCCTCGCACAATATTCTTTATGTGGTCCTCAGGTGATAGTTTTCTATCTAGCACCACCCCTAGATCTCTTTCTTTATCAGAATTCTTTAAAGATTTCTCACATAATATATAGGTTGTGTGGGGTCTATGTTCTCCTATTCCACATTCCATAACATGGCATTTATTAACATTAAATTCCATTTGCCAAGTGGTGCTCCAGATACTTATTTTGTCCAGGTCATCTTGAAGGGCACGACAATCATCTAAGTTTCTTATCCTTCCTATTATCTTAGCATCATCAGCAAACATGTTCATATAATTCTGTATACGAACTGGTAGATCATTTATGTAGGCAATAAACATCACTGGTGCAAGAACTGAGCCCTGTGGTACTCCACTTGTGACATTTCTCCTGTCTGATACATTGCCTCTGTGCGTGCGTTCATGCATGCGTGTGTTACGAGGGTCCCGTAAATGTCAACCTCTACCCAAAATGAGCCACTTTGAGATTTTAAATGTATATGATATACTGAACAAGAATTTGATAATATTTTACCTCACTCTGTACACCTGAGGAATTGACCAGAGAGGGGTACCTACGACTCAGTCTCTCGCTCACACAACAAGATGAGTAATGGATGACGATGGTGATCCGTCGTCGCCTCTCACCTGGTAATTCACTAAGTTCTAGTAGATTGATGATGGTGGTTCTTCTCTATCTAACACAAAGATCTGGAGTCAGTTACTGTATCGTTGTGTCTGTTGTGTTACAGTTCACTAATTTACTGTACCACTGATCACTGGAGCCCAAATGTAAACAAAGCCTCATGGGCCCTCCCACATGGCCTGTCTGGTGAATTCACTGTTTAAGACAAAGTTCTAGTGATGGCACTGTATTTTTTTTCCTATTTGCGGCAGTTATACACTTTTGTGATACCCTTAGATCTGTGATCCGTCACTGTAGCCTTAATTAACCCAAAAATATTGGCGTTTATCATAGCGCGCGACCCCAAGACCCTCCCTTGATCGCTGGCTCGACTCGACTGAGTGTGATAATGACTGTGTGCAATGTTCAAATATCAGTGATTCAGTGCTGTTCATGATGTTCACTGCACTAGCCACAGAACCACATCATTATTTCGTGCATCTAGGAGTCTTCAAACAACTTCTTAGGTTCCTTTACAAAATAAACTTGTGGTCAATTATTTATATACAGGAATTAGTGACCAGGATTGTGATAATAGCAGGATTATGGTGATAATTAGCGCTGTGCGTAGTATTGTGAGAGGAGGAATTTTTGTGAGGGAGGGAGGGAGGGAATCAAGGAAGCCTCACTCTGTGTGTGGCAGCCACTCTTGTTTTGCTCACCATACTAGCTTAGTGGTTCACTGTGGTGAACACATATGTACATGGGGTATATACAATGTGTGTATGTACCCATGTATAATGTACATATGTGCATAGTATTGTGGGAAGAGGAATTTTTGTGAGGGAGGGAGAGAATCAAGGTAGTCTCACTGTGTGTGGCAGCCACTCTTGTTTTGCTCACCATACTAGCTTAGTGGTTTGCTATGGTGAACACATATGTACATGGGTATATGCAATGTGTGTATGTAGTGTAATACCAACAACAGGAGTATGTTGGGAGGAGCTATTTTGGTGAGGGAGGTGACTTCGTTATCGCAGCATCGTCTTCTGTCTGCTGTGTGATTTCTCATGTTGTGCATGGTGGCCACTGTACTGTTTGGACACAATACTGGCTTACTTGCATAGTTCTGGTGAATAAAACATATAGTTAGGTATACAGGGGTACCTCGGTTAAAGAATTTAATCCTTTCCTGGAGACGGTTTGTAACCCAAAAATTCGTAAACCAAAGCAAATTTCCCTATAAGAAATATTGGGAAATAAATTCATCCGTTCCTGACTCCCCAAAAACTTTGCTTCAAAGTAAATGTTGTAACTAATTCACCCAAATCTTCAGTACAAAAGTATGTTCAAGTTTTTACTTACCCTTGCTGATGACTCCTGTTGGCGCATGGAAGATGGTGAGGAGGGGGTTGGAGGAGAGGTGTTACTGTTTGGAAGGGGAGTCCCCTTCCATTATAACATCAGGCAGTGACGATTTCTCTGGAGTGCACTCTCTGGCACATTTCGCCTGCATACCACTAGTTCCTGGTTGTGGCTCACTGCTTGATTTTTCTCACAAGGAAACGTTCCATTGAAGATTGTTTTTCCCTTCTTTGCAACAATTGTCTGTAGTGAGACATCACATTGTCACTGAAGAGGTTAATGCAACGGCCTACTACAGCTTTCTCTGGGTAAGTCATTTCATGCCTACCATACCATTTTCATGCTTACGAATGATCTCTTGTTTTTCCTCTGTGGTCATTCTCACATGTGATTTTTTGCCTTGAACCTTACCACTGGCTTTCTTGGGACCCATGGTGAGATATATAATAACAACTTTTATGGTCAAATAGCCAAAAATCCGAAAAGAAATTGTAAATCCTTGCAAAGAATTCAGGCGGGATAATCACTGGGTGCGAGGCACTGGTAAACTGAGACGCGATCACCTTGCCACTACGCACTAGGTCGGCTGTACGCGTATCAACAAACTCATATCCCGATTCAAATTTTCCGAACACTTCAGGCTTGTAACCCAAAAAGTTCGTAAACAGGGGTGTTTGTAAACCGAGGTATCACTGTACATAACATGTGTAAATAGTGCAATAAAAATAATAACAGTATTGTGGGAGGAGCAATGTTGGAGAGGAAGATGTTGGAGGAGTGAGGGAGGACTGGCTGGGTGTGGCAGCTCACACTCGCATAGTTCTGAGTGTGTTGATGGTGAATGTATATAGTATGTGACAGTGTATAGTGTGTAAATATGTTGTAAATATACATAAATGAACATGAAACATGGGTGTGAATAACAATATGGTGGGAGGAGGGGTGATGGCGAATACGATGTTGGAGGAGTGAGGGAGGACTGGCTGGATGTAGTAGCTAACACTCGCGGAGTTCTGAGTGTGTTCATGGTGTGTGTATATAGTGTGTGATACTGTACAGTGTGTAAATAGATTGTATATATACATAAATTAGCATGATACATTCGAAATATGTGCCAAATATGTGTACACATGTGTCATGCACATAACACAGTGTCTTCGGACAGTACGGATGTTCTACTGCTATATACATAGGATTGGCACGTATAAACAGATAAAATGTATTTGGAACTGTGCACAAAAAATGAACAAATGTATATTCGTGGCAACTCGTGCATCTTGAGACGCGCGCCTTACTGGCCCTGGGAGCATAAGCCATGGGCGACCAGGGAATGATGACGTCACGCGCGAAATTACGGACCCCATAGCAGCCAAAGTAAGTACAATTTTGACCTTTTGTTACCATATCCATACTCAGGGAAGGGTTTTTGACACTTTCAAAACAAAAAAGAATTTATTTCCTGCACACTGGGGGGGGGGTGCCATATTTGGAAGCCGAGCAGCTCAGTGGCTAGGTACAGTACCTATTTACTGGTCACTAGGTGAATGGAGGCATTTTGTAAGGAAGGAAATGTGCCCAAATGTCTCACTAAGCCCAAAAATACCATTAACTCTTTTTTTTTGCTGCTAGTGATAACCTTTTATTTATATTTGTAGTATCTCAGCTAATAAATCAAACTGTATGCTTTCTTGTTTCACAATTATTCATAAATTAATTTCTATTTGTCTGGCAAATGTATATTGGGTCTATAATTTAAGTGTCTAAATTATTTATGTATTTCATTTTAACCTACTTTAGTTCTTATAAATAGCATGTAGATAGTGTAATTTTTGTTAGATAATTTATCATTCATGTACTGTATTTGTATTTTTCATTACTTTTTACAGTATATACATAGTTGAAATGACATTTTTTCCTGTTATGTACTGTGATTAATATTAATGTAGTTTTCAATGTTTTCCATACAAAGCTATGAAGTTTTTTATTACAAATTAGCAATTTTTTTATATATGCTATTTTTTATATCTTGCATGTCATATTTGTGCTGATGTCATAGATATATTTCAATGCTCAACAGTTTCATAAGTTTTCACATCAAATCATCGTTATGCAAGTACAAAATATATGCATGAAAGATGTTTTAGTATGTTTGCACAACTTTCAAAGGCAAGTATACCATTTATCACTCATATACAGTATCTGCTTTGAAAATGTTTCTTGTTTCAGTAATATAGAGTACAATTTTCAGATATGGACCCATCATAGGTTATTGAACATTATTTATATTGTATACTTATGTTTGTCATAGAATAATTGCTGTTTAATAATCCTTTTCCAGATGGGTAATATCTTGCATCCTGTTATTCTCAAGGTCAACAACCAGATTATGAATATGGTGAGAGTGATGAATTAAGAGAAAATATTACAAGAATAATATACAGTAATTATTTTTCCTAGAATGAGTTTTGGAACAAGATGTGTTTTCAGATTTTGCTTATGTTTTATTCTCAATTTTCCATAGTAAATTGGATTGTTTAAATTACAGTAGTTTTGTTATTAAGGCACATTTGCAAGCTGAGGCTCTTTCTCCAAAACTGCTCTAGGGGGAATCTTGTGTTCTTCTACTAACATCATCCTGCTCTTTTCCCTCCTGTTACCTAAATACGTTTTGCCAACAGGAGCTGTGTGCTGTTAATTAATTCAAACTATTTATTTGTGTGAATATTTTAAGTCAGAATTTTGTTTGTTATGTAGACTAATAAAATGTTTGTTTTGTTAACAATTATTAAATATATGTGTTGATTTTTAAGTCTTTTGAAATGGTAGAATAGTGGTATTATTTAATATCTTTTAGAAGTTTTTTGTGATTAATTAGTTTTGTTATGGTGCCATTCAGTTACATTTTTTAACTTTTTATTGTAATTGTGTTACAAATATTACTGAAGAATAATAATGATAATTTATTTATAAAATATTAGTTGATACTTCACATTATTTATGTTTTTATTCATCTTTTTCTATAAAGCCAATAAACAAGCGCAACTTTCTGAGTAAACCTTAAGATTAAACTATCATTATTTGGGTTTTACACTTATGATGCTAATTTGGATATAATAGCTCTATGTAATTACCTAAATGTAATTACCTAAGTGTAGTTACAGGATGAGAGCTATGCTCATGGTTTCCTGTCTTCTCAGCATTCTTTACTATGAAATTACCTAAGTGTAATTACCTAAGTGTAGTTACAGGATGATTCAGATTCAGAGTCTTTATTCAGGTAAAGGTACATACATTGCAGATGAGTTACAAACATAATGTTGGATTTAAAGAAAGAGCTAGTACCTGTACATACAATACCTAAAGTGACTAGTATGCATAGCGTTTCGGGCAAGGTGAGGGGGGGATAAAAACACTTAGACTAAAACTTAATACTAATTGAGATTAAAGTATAAATTGTGTTGACAAATAAAAAATAAAGAAAGGGGGAGGAAACATGGCAGAAAATAGCAAATATACAATTTGGTCAACAAACAGCATTGTTTAAAAAGTAAGACATTGTTTAAATAGTAAGACATGGGTTGACATTTAGGGGTAAGGTACGTTACATGGAGTTAATTAGGTAGAACTTAGTTTTTATCTTAAACTGGTTGGGAGAGGTACAGTCTTTGACATGATTGGGAAGGTCATTCTACATTCTGGATCCCTTGATTTGTAATGCATTTCAAGTTTGAGTAAGTCGTACTCTTGGAATATCAAATAGGTATTTGTTTCTGGTGTTGTGCCCATGGGTTTTGTTACAACCTTCTAAGAAGAATTTAAGGTCAGATTTGACATTACAGTTCAGTGTTTTATATATATAAAGTACACATGAGAGGATGTGCAGTGACTTAATATCTAACATATTCAGAGATCTGAGTAAGGGTACCAAGTGATGTCTGGGGCCAGAGTTAGATATTGTTCTAATAGCAGCTTTGTGTTGAGTAATTAGAGGACCTAAAGAATTTTGGGTAGTAGAACCCCAAGCACAAATACCATAGTTGAGACAAAGATAGATGAGCAGCAGCATACTTGGCCCTCTCTTCTTTCTCATCTACATTAATGACCTTCCAAATGCCTCCCAACACCTCAAATCAATTCTATTTGCTGACGACACAACCTTCATTTACTCCAGTTCTGACCCTCTTGCTCCAAATGCCACATTAAATACTGAGCTAAATAAAGTCCATCTTTGGCTAACTGCCAACAAACTCACTCTTAACATTGACAAAACTTTCTATATTCTGTTTGGCAATAAATCCTCTAATCAAATAAATCTCAGAATAAACAATACCCAAATTTGTAACAAAATAGATCGCAAATTCCTTGGCGTTTACATTGACCACAAGCTGAATTTCCAGGGACACATTCTAAATATATAAAAAAAGTTTCAAAAACTGTTGGCATTCTTTCTAAGATCAGATATTATGTACCCCGCCCTGCCCTGGTGACGCTCTATTACTCCCTCATCTATCCATATCTCAACTATGGTATTTGTGCTTGGGGTTCTACTACCCAAAATCATTTACGCCCTCTAATTACTTATCACAAAGCTGCTATTAGGACAATGTCCAACTCTTGCCCCAGACATCACTCGGTACCCCTACTCAAATCTCTGAATATGTTAGACATTAAGTCACTGCACATTCTCTCATGTGTATTATACATATATAAAACGCTGAACTGCAATGCCAATCCTGACCTCAAAAGCTTCATTGAAGGTTGTAACAGAACCCATGAGCACCACACCAGAAACAAATACCTGTACAGTTTTGATATTCCAAGAGTACGACTTAACCAAACTAAAAATGCTCTACAAATCAAGCGACCCAGAATGTGGAATGACCTTCCCAATCGACCGGGGAACCGGTCGGCCGAGCGGACAGCATTCTGGACATACGATCCTGTGGTCCTGGGTTCGATCCCAAGCGCCGGCGAGAAACAATGGGCAGAGTTTCTTTTACTCAATGCCCCTGTTACCTAGCAGTAAAATAGGTACCTGGGTGTTAGTCAGCTGTCACGGGCTGCTTCCTGAGGGTGGAGGCCTGGTCGAGGGCCGGGCCGTGGGGACACTAAAGCCCCGAAATCATCTCAAGATAACCTCAAGATATGTTAAAGACTGTACCTCTCTCAACCAATTTAAGATAAAAACGAAGCACTATCTAATAAATTCCCTGTAACCTACCTTACCCCTATATTGTCAACCCATGTCTGTTTTTTTAAACAACGCTGCTTGTCAACCTAATTGTATTTGTGCTGCTTTTTCAGCCATGTTCCCCCCTTTTTTGTTTTTATTTTTATTTGTTCTCAACACATTTTATACTTTAAACTCAATTAGTATTAAGTTTTAGTCTTTAATGTTTTTCCTGCCCGAAACGCTTTGCGTAATAGTGGCTTTAGGCATTGTATGTACTAGCTCTATCTACAAATTTATCAATTTTTGTAAAATCTCTTGTACGTATGTACCTTACCTGAATAAACATTTATTTATTATTTATTTATTTATGAGAGAGTAATAGAGCGTCACCAGGGCAGGGCGAGGTACAAAATATCTGATCTTAGAAAGAATGCCAACAGTTTTAGAAACTTTTCTGTGGGGAGTCCCTACGGCTCCCTGGAGCTTATTGAGCTAATGTATGTTATATTAGACCGGGACATTAGCTAAGGAGTTCAGACCTACCAGGGACCAGCGCCAGAACCTGGCCCCTTTAGAGAGGTTTCAGGGAGTAATGGCTCTGGAAAACCCCCTTGTGATTGGGGTTTTACTTATCTGCCATCGACCGGGGTTAGGCACCCAGAAAGGTAGGCATAGCAAAACAAACCCCACATGATAAAAAACTAAAACAAAAAACCGAACAGAAAGGTAGAAACTCCCTACAATCCCAAGCAAACAAGCAAACATCACACTTTACTGCTGCGCCGATTGTCTGGCAGCCTTCCCCACCCCGAGAGGGGGAGGGGGGGAGCCCCGGACCTACCACACTGGCTGCCTATAGCTTCAGTTCGTAAGCTAATGTCAACAGGGATAGACGCTTCTCTGGCCTCAGTTTCCTAGGTGTTGTTTGCCTTGTGTGGCGTTCACTGCCGTGTGTTGTGTTGTGCGGTGGCCAGGAGTACCTCATCAGTGCCGAGGCTGCATGCGCTTAGGGGGGCTTCCTTCCCTAAGCGCTCTGTGAGTACTGCCTCTGCGTGACAGGGTTATCTTCCCTGGGGTGTTCGGGAACCATTCCCGTAGAGGTTCTTTCTGCTCGGCTTTTGCCTTGCCCTTGGGGCCTATGTTTGGCTCTGGGTAGGGACTGGTATTGTGCTGGTTAGGGCGTCAAGGTGTTGCGCGACCTGCCACCTAAGCGGCGACCGGTTCCTGTTTCCTCTGGAGACGGTGTACTTTTGTGGGGTTTTTCTTTTGTTTTTATTTTAATTTCCCTGGTGGGGGCCTGCCTAGTGTGGCTATGGTTCCAATGGTAGTGTTTGGTGGCCCTCTGCTAGGCCCCCATGATTGTACACGTCGCAGGGGTTTTCAGTGCTATCCTCTACCTCTTGTTATTTTTGGGTTTCTTAACTGGTTAGCAACACCTTGCCCAGGCTTCCCGTAGCAGTCAGCCTACGGGCCCTGGAAACCCCTGTCTGGACTCGGTGGACCATTGAATGTGACTTCCGGGTTCCAACCCGTCTTGTACGGGACCGTTGGTTGCTGTGCCCTTGTCTCAGGGTGACAGTCGCCACTTTTACCTCCGTCATGCTGCCTGTTGGGTCACTGACACCTTGACCCGGAGTCTTGCGAGAGAGATTCTCTGCTTGTTCTCCAGTACTCTCCTGATGTTATTACTATTCAGAGTACAGGCAGCATCCGTGTTGCAAGCTAGGTTAGGTTGCTGCAACACGCTAGGTTGGTTTCCCACTCGGATGCTCCGAGGCCGCCCCGTTTTGGTGAGGTGCTGTTTGCCCCTTTCCCTCCCTGTTCCCAGCTCCGGACCGTCTGTGGGTTTCGGGGTCGGGGCGGGGTTTAGTTGGGGCCAAGACTCAGGCGATTTTCGGGGGCTGCCCCGTTCGGGTTGGGGGACGGAAGTTTTCGAGCCTGTTCCTCCTGCCAAGGCTTCTGGGTCTGACCAGTGGCCCTTTCTTGCTGCCTTTTCCATGGACTCTTCCTTTTCTTTAAGGGCGGAGGGCTTGGAGGGCGGCTCTGCCCCGGGGCCTCTGTTGCTGGTTCCCAGTGCTGTGGGGGATGCCTGCTAGCAGTTCTGGGGCAGTTTGCCCCTGTCTGGGTTTTCTGCCTTTGGGCGGAGTTTTTCGCCCATGCAGTCTGCTTGCTTCCCGCTTTTGGTGGCGTGTTTTCATATATTTAGCGTCAGTCACAGCCCTCTGTTCTGGTGGCCATTTTCTTCTGCTGGTTTCCCGGCATGACCACCAGGGCGGCGTTGCGGTTTGTTTACATGTGCCTGGGTGTGCGAGCGAGCGTCTTGGGTGAGTTTTAAACCTTTTTCAAGGGTTTTATTCTCCTGTTGTTGTTTCTTTGCTTTTCTGGTGTTTTCTGCCCATTCCTGTTCCTCTGGGAATGTTTGAGTGTTGATTTTTCTCCGGGTTTTCCATTTGTCTGTTTTGGGTCTGGGCCCTTGGGTTTGGGCTCAGTGTCCCTGGCTGTTATGCTTGTTCCCACACCTTGCCCCTCGGTTTTCGGTCTGTTTTGAACGTTTCCCTGGGGGTTCTGTCTGGGGCTGTGCTTTGCCTTTCTGTGGTGTTTCTCCGCCAGCAAATATGGTGGTTTGGGCTCCCCCTGGTTCGATTCCGGGTTCCTTTGGGTTCTTTGGCTTCATTCCGGAGGTTTCTTCCTCTTGGGCCCCCTTTATGGGTTCAAGGGGCTTTGTTTCCTCGTGTGTGACCCGGTTCTGCCTTCTGGAGTTCCGGGGTCTTCCTGGCTTGCAGACTGATCTTTTTGGGTCTTGGCACGTGTTGTGGTCGTGCTGGGACTTTGAGGTTTTGTTGTCGAGGTGGGCCTTTTGATGCAGTTTTGTGCCTTCTTCGCCTGGCCAGCGTGGTGCTCTCTGCCCATTGGTCAGCAGCTTGTAATTTTCTTTTCATGTGTATGTGTGTGTGTGTGCACATGTGTATGTGCATACACACGTATGTGTAACATACCTTGTGTGTATGTGTATATACATAATATGTATATATGTGTATATGTGTATATGTACTTTTTCTTTTGGAAGGGGCTCTGTTCCCCTCTGTTGACGGGGCGCTGGGGGAGCAGCTTGCTCTGTTGACTCTCGCATGGTCCTGCAGTTAATGGGCGCTTTTGGTTGTCTTCCGGCCTCTGGTGGAGGCTGTGGACAGCTTCTCCCCCTTTGGGGGTTCAGGGCTGGTGGGGTGGGCTTCTTCCCCTGTGCTTCGTCATGTCATCTTAGTGGGTGCGTTGGACATGGTCGATCCGCCCCATCCTTCTGGGGTTCCCGTCTGCTGTTTGCCGACATGGGCCTGTCGAATCTGCAGTTCTTCTGAACTTCTTCAGTCTGCGCCCTGGATTCTATGCCCTCATCGGAGGACTGTTGTCTTCTGTCCGGCTTCTGTTGGGGCCGGGTGCCTGGATGGTGGCCCAGGACCTCCAGGTCAATTCTTGGCATGTTCCTCTCCAGTTTTCCGGGACTGGCACAGTTGGTAGTGGGGCTTCAGGCTTGCCGCTTTTGTTGCCTTCCCTATTTTGTAATTGGCACTTGGTGTATTTTTGCATCTTTACCGGATCTTGGTGCCCTGTCTGAGTCTGCTTGGGTTTCGGTGTCTGGCCTACCTCGACAACTGGCTGATGTGGGCTCCCAGTCGGTTCGCTTGTCTGCTCGCCAGGGGTGTGGTTCTTTCCAGATCACCGGGTTTGGTTTTCCTGGTGATCTGGAGGCCATTCCATCTGTTTCCGTCCCAGGTTTGGACCTGGCTGGGCCTTGTTTAGGGCTCTTGGGCCGCTCCTTGTCTTTCCCGCCAGAGGTGTTGTTGCGGCTGTGATCCCGCCTTCTGCTGTTCATGAGGGGGTCCCGGGTTGTTTAGCAGTTGCTCAAGCAGTTGTGCGGGAGTCTGAACTTTGAGGTGCTGGTCTGCCCGTGGGATTGGGTTTGGCTTCGGCGTCTGTTTGGTTCCTTCGGAGACTTCCCTTCCGCCTCTCTTGCAATCGTTGGGTTCGTTCCTCCGGGCATCTTGTGTTGGTGCTGCGTCACCAGCTTCCTCTTTTAGGTTTTCTTTTTAGGTTTTATTGTTGTATGGCCAGAAAACAATGCCGATGTTCAACAATGGACTCACTCATGTCTCCAGTGGCAGTTGATGAAAACACATCGACACACAAAGAGCCCTCGTCAACAGTTCCCGTTACCTTCTGACTGTGACGAGGTGGTGCATATAGACGTCATTGGACCGTTACCATTGGCAAGAGATTATTCCTATCTACTCATCTGCATTGATCGATTCTCCAGATGGCCAGAAAAAATCCCATTAGTCAACATCTTAGCTGAGTCAGTGGTCCAGGCTTTCCTCCCTGGATGGGTTGCCCATTTTGGCAGCCCCTCTGTCATCATCACCGACCAAGGACGCCAGTTTGAATCATATCTATGGAAGGAACTTATGGAATTCCTCGGCACCATACACAACCAACCACAGCATACCACCTTAAGTTGAACATATTGGTAGATTGCTTTCATAGACAACCAAAAGCCGCCCTAAGAGCTAGAGCACACCCTGATGATTGGATCGACAACCTTCCATTAGTTTTGCTTGGCATCTGTTCGGCCACGAAGGAGGGCAGTGGATTCTCGGTAGCAGACTTGGTATACGCAATACCACCACACCAACCCATGCTACATATGTTCCTCATGAGCTCCACACAACTGAACTTGTGTTTGTAAGAATCAATGCTGTCCGATGCCGTCCACAGTCACCTTACGAAGGACCATTTAAAGTGGTTTCTCAAACACCGAAGTTCTTCAGCATTGAACGCCGAAGCAAGTGGGAAAACATCTCCATAATCACCTAAGCCCAGCACACTGTAACGCTGCCCCAGACATTCCTCCAGAAACACATTCGCCGACGACACCATACACTTTTTGCCCGCAGTTACCAGCAGCACCACCACTTGATCCTACGACAACGGACAATCCTATGCGACCTCCACCCTACAATCGCAGTTACCAGCAGCACCACCACCTACGACAACGGACGATCCTGTGCGACCTCCCAATCTACAACCCCAGTTACCAGCAGCACCATCACCTGATCCTACGATGATGGATGATCCTGTGTGAACTCCCACCCGACAACACAACCCCAGTTAGATGACATCAGCGAAGAGGAGGAAGTTAACTTTGAGGGTTATACAATGCGAGTAGGGTGTACAATTCACCAACCAACCAGGTTCCTTGATCAAGTGTTTTTCCTTTCATCCCCAGGGAGGGGAAAGTTATGTAGCAAGGAAAGTATGCCAATAGTATACTCCCTCTAAACTCTCATTAGCTTAATGAGAGTAGCATAACTCTCATTAATACTAATGATGAAACTCAAACCTTTTCCCTAATTACAGTTAACATTCCTTCCAATCTTTGGAGGATGATGAGGTGAGGTATGGTCGATCATATAAGCAATCGAGAAGCGAGTAATTATTTTATGGGCTATTCATGCCCGTGCCACCTCTTGGGTGACCTAATCTTTATCAATCGAGTAATTATCAGTCTACTTTCAAGCGTGGTTTAGTACAGATTCTTGAGAGATACTCCACCATACAACACCGACTCTCAGTGCACTCAACTCGCTATCACACCGTTGCTCGCCAAGTTTCACCTGCAAACTTCTGTAGACTACATTTGTCCATAAATATATATATATATATATATATATATATATATATATATATATATATATATATATATATATATATATATATATATATATATATATATATATATATATATATATATATATATATATATATATATATATGTATATATATATATATATATATATATATATATATATATATATATATATATATAGATATATATATATATATATTGTATTCTCTTAGCATCTGTGTTTATTGTCACCATAATTTACGTAACAACAGAAATGTCACAGGGGCTTGGTTTGTGTCTCTGGTCTCTGGTATACTTTTGAGGACATGCAAGACTGATGTGACTTATAGATGTAGAGCTACCTCAGTGTGGCTAGTTGTAAGGAGCCACCGAATTTTCCCTAGAATGAGGCATTTCATTACATTCTACATTTTTTTTTTTTTGACATTTGAGTTCTTCCACAAAAATGTTGTGGAAATTAATTTAAGAATATTCTGACTGATATTACAATTTAGTTAAGTTATTGCCATCTTTTGCTTATTTCCTTACTATCTACTAATTTTCCTGACTTGAGTTTATTTATGTGTTGTTTTAACTTGTTTTAAATGATCATGAAATGTAAATTAACCCATAATTGCTGCAAATATATTGCGTGTAAAATTATAGAGGTACAGTATTGTTTTATGGGACTCTGGTAGATATTTTACTACTCCTTACAGTACAACATTAACTATTTCTTTACTTCCTCAGATATCTCCTACAAACTCTCTATCCTACTCTCCTGCACATTCAAATGAAAAGACTGCACTTAATCACACAGCACATCGGCCTCCTACCCCTCTTGAAAGGTTAGTGTATGCTGAAGCAATAGTTATAAGACAGCTTGAACACACAAGAGTCCTAAGATGGTGCTAGAGTTACAGGTAAATTCATTCCTCTTTGATCATAATATATGCTGTGTATTTTTTTGTGGGTATAAGTATTTAGGAATTGTTTGCTGATTTATATTTTTTCCCATTTTTACATGCAAATTTTTTCTTGTAATCACAAATGAGTTTTCCATCCTATTTTAGAAATACTATAGTAAATTTTTTGGATATTTCAGTATATTTGTTATATCAAAATAGTAATAGCTGTTCATTTTTTACTTTGGATTAAAAAAATTATGGTCTAATAATAAACACACATTTCTGTGGAGAACCCCTTCGGCTCCCTGGAGCTATACCGGGCTGATGTGTATATATTAGACTGTGGCAACAGTCAGTCGAAGGAAACAGTCAAATCGTTTTGACTGTTTCCTTCCAATATAACATTGGAACTCAACAATATAGCAGAAAGCTCAGAAATCACAAAATATTTCCCTACTGGAAAAATATGCGAAATCTGGTAAATGTTTCTGAATTTTGTTTACTGTACACTGTATTCTGTACAAAACTGACTCTGGACTGACTCAACTTCCATTTTTATACTTACTGATCATTTATATATTTTTAAATTTTGCATTCTTTTGCCTTTTGTAGTAAATATTACATTAAAATGCAGTTTGGTGTTTAGAATTTATTTTCTGTAATTAACCATTGTACTGCACACTTGATGTACATGACAACTAGCTGGTGCACAAGAAAAATAATTTTTTATATATATTATTATTTTTTAATACTGTTAATCTCCGTGCTGCATGCAAGAATTGGACAGACTGATGGAATGGTCCAAGAAATGACTACTAGAGTTTAACTCGAGCAAGTGCAAAGTAATGAATTACCCAAGTGTAATTACCTAAGTGTAGTTACAGAATAAGAGCTATGCTCGTGGTGTCCCATGTTCCCAGTCCTCTTTGTCATATAACGCTTTGAAACTACTGATGGTTTTGGCCTCCACCACCTACTCACCTAACTTGTTCCAACCATCTGCCACTCTGTGAAAGTGAATTTTCTTTTATTTCTTTGCCAGCTTTGTTTAGTTAATTTACATCTATGTCGTCTTGTTCTTGAAGTTTCAGGTCTCAGGAATTCTTCCTTATCAATTTTATCGATTCTCTTACTACTTTGTACATAGTGATCATATTGCCCCTTTTTTTCTATCTTCTATTTTTGGCAAATTTAATGCCTCTAACCATCCCTCGTAGGTCTTGTTCTTCAGTTCTAGGAGCCTTTTACTGTATGAGCTCGATTATCTGGACAATTTATTTATTTATATACAAGAAGGTACATTCGGTTTATGAGAGTACATAGCATTGATGTTTTTACATTCTTGTAAAGCCACTAACATGCATAGCCCCTGTCCTCCCCTTCCCAGCTCTTTCGGAAGGACAGGCTGTCAGGATGCTGATAGGCTAGACAGGCTGTCAGGATGCTGATAGGTTAGACAGGCTGTCAGGATGCTGATAGGCTAGACAGGCTGTCAGGATTCTGACAGGCTAGACAGGCTGTCAGGATGCTGATAGGCTAGGAAGTCTTTAAGCATGCTGACAAGGTAGACAGGCTGTCAGGATTCTGACAGACTAGACAGGCTGTCATGATGCACAGGCTGAATAAAGTCTGTGCCACAGATTGTCAGACAAGACGATGCTTGACAGACAGACAGATGATCACACGTCTCCATCCTGTTCAACCCCTCCCCCTCCCCGCTCTCACCCACAAATGTTAACACTTGCTGTACAATGACATATTATAATATGCACCTTAACCACCGCACTGCTCTGCCTTAAAATATGACAAACCTGAGGTGCGCTGAAAATAAATTATTCACAAAAAATTATTTGTCCTACCAAAAGCATTAAATACCCTTCCCTGATCACATGTATGTTGAAAAAAATTCACAATTGTACTTACTTTGGCTGCAGTGGTGTCCGGAATATGTCGTGTGACATCATGGCATGGTGTGTACCCATGCCATAGACTTCCAGAGGCAGTGGTGCACGTTCTTCAACAGGCGCGAGTTGCCACAAATATTTTTTTTCCACACAATTACAAATGCATTTATATTGTTTTTTCTGTGAGGAGCCCCTATGGCTCCCTGGAGCTAATCGGGCTACTTTATGGATATTAGCTATGGACTGGGATATTAGCTATGGAGTTCAGACCTACCAGGGACCAAAGCCGGAACCTGGCCCCTTCAGAGAGGTTTCAGGAAGCAGTGGCCCTAGAAAACCCCCCTGTGGTTGGGGGTTTTCCTTATCTGCCATCAACCAGTGTTAGGCACCCAGAAAGGTAGGCATAACAAAACAAACCTCACATGGTAAGAAACTAAAACAAAAAACGAACAGAGAGGTAGAAACTCCCTACAATCCCAAGGAAACAAGGAAACAAGCAAACATCACACTTTACTGCCGTGCCGCTCGTCCCTCCCCTTCCCCGAGAGGGGGAAGGGGTGGGCCCCAGACCTCACTGCACCGGCTGCCTAGCACTCCAGTTCGTAAGCTAATGTCAACCGGGACACACGCTTCTCTGGTTTCAAATTCCTGGGCGGTGTTTGCCTGTGTGGTGTTCTCTGCTGTCTTTTTGTCATGTGTGGTGGCCAGGAGTACCTCATCAGTGCCAGGGCTGCATGCGCTTAGGGGCTATTTTCCCTAAATGCCCTGTGAGTACTGCCCCTGTAATTACCTAAGTGTAATTACCTAAGTGTAGTTACAGGATGAGAGCTACGCTCGTGGTGTCCCGTCTTCCCAGCACTCTTTGTCATATAACGCTTTGAAACTACTGACGGTCTTGGCCTCCACCACCTTCTCACTTAACTTGTTCCAACCGTCTACCACTCTATTTGCGAAGGTGAATTTTCTTATATTTCTTCGGCATCTGTGTTTAGCTAGTTTAAATCTATGACCTCTTGTTCTTGAAGTGCCAGGTCTCAGGAAATCTTCCCTGTCGATTTTATCAATTCCTGTTACTATTTTGTATGTAGTGATCATATCACCTCTTTTTCTTCTGTCTTCTAGTTTTGGCATGTTTAATGCTTCCAACCTCTCCTCGTAGCTCTTGCCCTTGAGTTCTGGGAGCCACTTCGTAGCATGTCTTTGCACTTTTCCAGTTTGTTGATGTGCTTCTTAAAATATGGGCACCACACAACAACTGCATATTCTAGCTTTGGCCTAACAAAAGTCATGAACAATTTCTTTAGTATATCGCCATCCATGTATTTAAATGCAATTCTGAAGTTAGAAAGCATCGCATAGGCTCCTTGCACAATATTCTTTATGTGGTCCTCAGGTGATAGTTTTCTATCTAGAACCACCCCTAGATCTCTTTCTTTATCAGAATTCTTTAAAGATTTCTCACATAATATGTAGGTTGTATGGGGTCTATGTTCTCCTATTCCACATTCCATAACATGACATTTATTAACATTAAATTCCATTTGCCAGGTGGTGCTCCATATACTTATTTTGTCCAGGTCTTCTTGAAGGGCATGACAATCATCTAAATTTCTTATCCTTCCTATTATCTTAGCATCATCAGCAAACATGTTCATATAATTCTGTATACCAACTGGTAGATCATTTATGTACACAATAAACATCACTGGTGCAAGAACTGAACCCTGTGGTACTCCACTTGTGACATTTCTCCATTCCGATACATTGCCTCTGATTACTTAACCCTAACCCTGATAACCCTGTGTGTCAGGGTTATCTCCCCTGAGGCGTTCGGGAACTACTCCCATAGGGGTTCTTGCTGCTCGGCTTTTGCCCCGCCCTTGGGGCCAGCTGGGGCTTGGGGCCTTGGGTAGGGAGTGGTGTTGTGTTGGTTAAGGCATCAAGGTGTTGCGCAACCTGCCACCTACGTGCTAACCAGTTCCTGTTGCCTCTGGGGATTGTGTACTTTTGCGGGGGTTTTCTTTTGTTTTGTTTTTGTTTGCCTGGTGGGGGTCTACCTAGTGGGACAATCGTTCCCCTGATATTCTTTTGGTGGCCCTTTGCTAGGCCCCCATGCTTGTACATGTTGCAGGGGTTTGGGTACCTGGATGGTGTTCCTGGACCTCAAGGATGCTTATTGGCACATTCCTATTCATCTGGGGTTCAGGGACTGGTTAGGTTTTGTGATGGGGCGTCAGGCTTTCCGCTTTCGTTGCCTTCCTTTTGGCTTGAATCTGGCACCTCGCGTTTTCACGTGTCTTACCCGGTTTGTGGTGACCCGTCTGCATCTGCTAGGGATTCTGGTTTTGGCCTACCTCGACGACTGGCTGGTGTGGGCTCCCAGTCAGTCAGCTTGTCTGCTTGCTAAGGATATGGTTCTTTCCCAGCTCGCCAGGCTCGGGTTCCTGGTGAACTGGAGGAAGTCCCAACTGGTTGTGTCCCAAGTTCGGACCTGGCTGGGTCTTGTTTGGGATTTTTGGACTGCTTCCTTGTCTCTCCTCCAGAGGCATTGCTGCGGCTGCGGTCCTGCCGTCGGCTTTTTCTGAGGGGGTCCCGGGTCACTCCGCGGTTACTAGAGCGGTTGTACGGGAGTCTGAACTTTGCTGTGCTGGGCAACCCACCAGGTCTGGTTTGGCTTCAGCATCTGTTTTGGTTCCTTCGTGGACGCCCCTTCCAGCCTCTCTCACGATCGTTGGGTTCGTCCTCCGGGGGCCTTGTGTCGGTTGCTGTGTCACTGGCTTCCTCTAATGGGTTTTCGGGGTTCGGTGCCTTGGTGACTTCCCAGGCCTTCACTCGATGTGTTCAAGAATGTGTCGTCTCTCGGCTAGGGCTTTGTGACCAGTGCTCACCAGGCCGGCCAGGGAAGGTTGGGTCTGTTCTTTCGTCGGGCTCACAACACGGTTCAGGAGTTTGCAGCAGTCTGGCTTGCGCTTCGGAGGGTTCGGGTCGCTCGGGGGTTCGACCATCTGGCTCCACTCGGACTGTTCTGCGATGATT